GCTGTGATTATTTACCTCGTGGTGTATATAAACACATTACTTTTTATTTTTTTCATTAAAAAAATTTACTATTTTCATTTGATATATGTCTTTGTTTTCTTTTCTTTTTTGTTTTGTTTTTGATAATCATTTATATTTCTTGATTTTTCTTTGTTTTGATTGATTTTTTCCCTTTTGAAAAAATTCAAGGTACTTCAGCATTGGAACATGATATTTTAAATATAAACAAAGCACTGTTTAAATAACATTTGATATCCCATATACAACACTTAAATTTGATGGTTATTACATGTACATGCTTACCATAAACTAAATTCAAAGACATTTGTGTATTACCTCTAGATCTTCTTCAAGAGATGTTATATCTGTTGGTGTGTCAATGGCACATGATGCAGTTGATGAATGTTGGTATGTGTCCAATGAGATTGACAATGATGGATTCTGCTTCTTTATAAGTGATGATTCTTCTCTGAAAAATTACTATGTATTATAATATATGTACAATATATAGCAATGTTCTATTTTGATACAGTAGAAGTTTGAAAACTAAGCTTATCTTATTGAGACAAAAAACTTGCACATTCCAAACCCCTTATGATTCATAAACCACATTTGATCAAAAAATTGCAATTTGCGCAATACTTTTTATATAAGTCCGTGGTTGTATAAAAGCTTCACTACATAGAAAAACGATAAAAGAAAAACTTTTGAGGGCAGACAGAACAGTACATGTAGAAATAATTTTCATGACGTACTTTTCATTAACGTTTGCGCATCCAGATATTTTTTTTAACTTCCATAGTTCATTGGTACCAATACAGATCAATCTGGGAAAATAGTGTCTAAATAAAACAATATACATTTTTCATACAAGATAAGATTGACCATACTTTTGTGACCCTCTCCCTCAGGGGTGTTTTGAACTAACATACAGGAGGATATTTTTAAGCAATGAATCAATGAATCAGTATTTTTTTTATACAATAGTCTCTTAACTGCAACAGTTTGTGCAAACAAACTGAATATCTTCTGAAGTATTTCATTGCAAATGTGATTTATATTTCAAAATTCTTGTATTATCATTCGGGTACGTTCCAGTTAATGGAAAAGCCAATGTAACATCTTTTTGAAATAAGTGTGATATTTGGTTCTCGCTTATGACGTTGCACTTCCAAGGCGTTCAACGTTTGCGACGTCAAAATAAAACATAACCTTTAATGCTTTGACCCCATTTCTAAGTTATGATGCTTTGAATGCCATAGAATTTCCCCCTACTTTTTTTTACATGCAAAATACATGTACATGTGTTATGCAAATTTTATATACATCTTTAAATTTACTGATTTTTTTCTATGCATTCACAACAATTGAAACTTGAATATATGCTTTATATCAATAAGATTTCAAATAAGTCTCATCTTTCCTGGCTCAAGATTTTTAAACGATCCCACAATTTTCATTGATTATTACTTAATTATCTCCCCTTGAAAGTCTTGATTTTGAATATTAAACTTGATTTCCCCTAACCACAGGATTGTAATTGCATGTGCCAAGTTTGGTTGAAACTAGCTGAAATGAAAATATGAAATATCATTTATAATGACAATAAACACCAATGACGGATAATAGACTTTGATCGGAAAATCTCACTTGAGCTTTCAATCTGTTTGGTCGAGCTATTACAATGGCTCAATAATCAGCCAATAACCTATAATCAAGCTTTAATTAAAAAAAAATCTAGATTTTCATTTGAAATTGAGGCAGATGGGTGGATTTCTAATACCTTTTTTCCTTCCATTATACAGACATTTTTTTAACCTGATCAGGTGGTGCAGGTTTATCTGTTTTATCCTACTAAAAGTTATATATAGCTAGAGGTCAATTTAAATATGTATATATCTCTTACTACATAATTATCATCTGCCATCAGGAATCTTTGACAACTGATGATCCTTGTTTAATACTTCTGAATCAATTTATATTACAGCAATATTCATATTGGATAAACGGCGTTCCTAAGACATAGAACTTGGGATATTATGGTCACTATGTTCTTTCTTGGCAAGGATATCCTTATCCAACCATATTACATGTATTTCCGAGACATAGTCTTTTCTGACGAATAGACTGTTCTTGTTATAAACATTAACGTGCATGGAAAGAAATATAAGACTAGGAGAACAGTGGCAGATATGCATTGAAATAAGACAGGGTTACTTTAAGAAATAATTAACACTGAAACCCAATTTTATTTGTTTTATGTGAGTTATTCAATTTGTTCTCGAAAATTTTTTATTACCCCTCGTATTTTTTTTTTTATTTGAGCTGAAATGTGGAATATTTATTGCCTAGACAATGCATATTTTGAAAACTGCTGGGAATTGATCCTGGTATGTATAACATTATTTTTACTCATAACAGACTTTAAGCGAATCTAAAATTATAGCTATTGTACGCATTTTCGGAAAACTTTTCAGCCCAGACTAGCTCCCAGCACATTTTGGGTAGTAGAAATAAACATCATTTAATGTGTATAATTTGTTTTTCTTAAAAAACAACCGGTCACGGTAGCCTTGTGGTAGAGCGTTCGCTTCGTGATCGGGAGGCCCGGGTTCGATTCTCGTTCCCGGCGCTGCGTCATACCTAAGACGTAAACAAAGGTAGTGACTGTTCCTTCGAAAAGCGCTCGGCACTAGAAGTGAAAGTCACGGGTCTTTCAGATATGACCTTAAAAACGTAGGTCCCGTGTCACGGTAGGCGCTGGCACGATAAAGAACCCTCACTGCTCAATGGCCCTGAGTGCCGAGTATAGGTCTAAATTTGAAGCCCTTCACCGGCATACGGTGACGTCTCCAAATGAGTGAAAAATTCTCAAGAGGGACGTTAAACAATATACAATCAATCAATCAATCTTAAAAAACAAGCATATGCCCTTGCACTTTCCTACATTCAGCTAAGCAATTCTATTTAATACTAGTCATGTGACAATCAGTTGATACATACATAAATGGTTATCCGTGAAAAAAAACCCACCGCCAACAAAGTTCGGTGGAATGAGAGACGCAAAACTATGTGTTGGCGTGGCCAGATCTTAAAGCTCAATCAATATATCTAACCTTTAACAGAAAAAGAAACATTTTCTTGTTGATTCATTTCTTAGTTGTATAGAAAGAAACAATTAAGGAAGTATGATAGTTGAACTCATCAGTACTAATGAAAAATATGGCGATAATGAACAGTATTCAAGATCAAAAGCTGATTAATCAACACAAAAAATATATAAGAGCAGAACAAACGCGGACATCCAAAACTTCAGAGGTGGAATCAGGTGCCATGGAGGTGTGAGTATCCCTTGCCGACCGATCACACCCGCCCTACGCGTATGTTCCTTGTTATGATCTGTAAATAACGGAAAAATTTCATAAGAATCCCAAGTAGTCTCTGGATATTTGATAAAGAACCCATGATTGACGGTAACTAAGTGATTCATACAATTATTGAGATAACAGCAGCAAAATTTTAAGATTTTGAGTTTGAAAATGAAACGCAAAAAAATTTTGGCAAAGTATTAGACCAACCAAATGTTGTGATGGTAAGTAGTTTTTGAAGTGTTGAATACATATTAGACCCTAGCTACAATAATGGAATTTTACCCTTATCATTACCTCCATAATGAATAATTCATTCATACAGTAACAAAAGGTTTTGCTTTGGAATAAGGTCAAATTATTTAATTTCTCCTCTTCCTTGCCAAAAAATTCTTTTTTTTTTTGTCGTTTTAAACCAAAATCTGCACTATAAAAGGATTTTCTTGCATAGTCGAATGCACATTTAACAATTGAAGAACAAACAATCCAAATTACATTTCCATTTCGTATATTAAAATCAATTTAGAACATCCCTTAATTCTAATATACCTTTCCAAGGCATTCGAACCCTGTCTACCTTGCTTTTTTATTTCTGTTTCCAAATGACCATAGGAGAAACTATCTGACGCAGCATCAATACGTAAAGAGTAGGATTTATACTGTGAGCTTGGCAGACCGGCTATTTCAAGAGATTTATTTAATACTGGACAGAATTGAAGCCTTGTAAGAAGACTACCAACCATATGTTTAATTAACTGACCGTCTAATTTAAGCCTCAGTTCGATGTACCTTTTCAACCAGTCAACTGGACAGACATAGTTCTTTGTTTGATTCAAACATACGGATTTGCCCTTTTTCAAGTTGGTCAATTTTTGAGGAAATTTTATCCATTTACCGTCAAACTGTAGATATTTTGCCTTGTAATGTATTTCCTTCCTTAAATGTCTGATTGAATTGAAATATATTGAGTGATCAAGCTAAAACTTAAATTTAAAGACATAGGAATTGAGGTTTGAATTTTATTGAAGATATTGCTTTTTTTCTCTTAAACATTTCTAAAGCATACCTTTAACTTCAGACACAAATTTATACATAGACTGCTCGTATTGCGAATTCCAAGGAAAGAATTAATATTAAATTCCAAAATCTACTTATCATGAGTCATAATCTAGTGTTTAAGAGCAAACACCTTCATAAAGGCCCCATTGCATGTATATATAATCAAAGTTGTATATAAGCCAAATTTCATGTATTTTCTAGTACAAATTCAACAGGTGAACACTTAAGATAATAGAAAATTATCTAAGGCGGGTGAAGTAGTGAAATCTGCAATTCATCAAAATGAAAGACGTTTTCTGTTTACATGTATATTTTATTTTAATTCTAACATCGTGTTGGTGAAAGAGGAGTAAAAAGGATTTCTATCAATGTCAAATTTTCTTTTGAATCTTTAAACCTTGTTAAAACAACATAGAAAGTTTCCAAAACTTCACAGTGCAATGCAATGTCAAATAGTAATACATCAAATCAACATGTGAATTTCCTGAATGCGGAAATTTGATCTGTGTAACACATTAATTTGAAGCATTTTCGTGCTCAGTTATTTATAAAAATGCTTGGTTGTTTTTGTAGGAACTTTGTAAAACTTTTGTTATTCTTTTCCATTGGGAACGTTGCTCAACGGCACTTGAAATGCAGGTACATATTAAAGTTATTATAGATATATCTAAACACGCCAGTTTCTGAAATGTTTAATACTTTACAATGTAGTTTTCTGCTAACATTAATTTTCTTACAATCAGATTCCCCTATGGCCTTGATTGTTGTGATGGATATTACAGAACATATAACAACTCCTGTACAGGTTGCAAATTAATTGCTTAGAAAATAAAGGTCTTCTATTTAGGTTACAAATATATTCATAGCCATCCGATAAAATTAAAAAGTATACCTGTTTTTTTTTTCTTCAAACATGTCTTACAACAACAATAAATATGTACTTTTTTAAACCACTAAACATTTTACCAATCTATGCATGCAATTTATACAACGTAATTTAAGTGTCGAGGGAAAAAAATCGTTACAGCTTGTCCAAGTGGATTTCATGGAAAAAACTGTAGTACGAGGTGTATATTCCCTGCCTATGGAGTGGGCTGTTTAGAAGAATGCAGATGCAACAAGTCCTTGTGTAATTTTATTGTAGGATGCCCTGCAGATCAAGGTATTTTGTAACAATTTTGTTTTGTATGAGATTTGAACCTCATGTCATGTTGTCAAACTGTAAAATCTTTTTTTTGTCAAATTTAAATCATAATGACAGCTTTTGCAATGAACATATTAGTGTTTAGGAGAGACGTATAGGCTTAGTCGAGACATAATGCTTACTAGTATTCTACTTTCAACGAGTCTTTATGATGCAATTAATCTTTGAAGGAATAGAAAAGAAAACCTCTTCCTTTGTCAGCTTTCTTACAACACATTTGCCAAAAAGGTCACTTGAAGTTGAAGACATGTTCCATTCAACAGCCAGTAGTGAAACGGGTATTATTCCCTATTTTTTCTTAACTTCTGTTATTATAAAATAATACAATTTTAAAAGATTTGACATTTTCTAAAACGCTAAACAATTACAACTTAATTAAACCAATTATTTCATTTATGTTCAAATGTAACGAATGGATATTTACATAACAAATAATTATATTTTTTTTACGAAGCGATATTGTGTACACTTTTATGATATAGATTACGAAGAGTTTTTCGTGATATATGTATTGACTCTTTATTAACGAGACCATATTTTCACATGTTATAGTATTTATTCTTTATAATATAAAGGCATACAAATACATTCGAAATACCTTTTTAAGAGTATACTGTCTTTACTGTATAATTATGCAAAAATAAAGCTGTCGCAAATAAAAAGTGGTATACAGTTTACCTTTATTCATAACGACTTTAATTTCATTCAGGTTGTTAAAGACCTTTTAAAAGTATTGAATCAATAATAACCTTAATATTGTCTCTCGCTACTTGCAAAAATGTAAATGATGTCAGTATAACCCTTCACTTTGGAACTTTTTAAAAAAAAAGGTATCTGCACCTATGATTCAAATGGACTGAGATAAGTTTTAATATTATGTTAATATTTAAGTATTTTTAACATAATAGCCCCAAAACAAGACGCTTCATCGCTAAAGATAATCGAAATTATTGAGAAGAGGTACTTAAGGGTTTGATATGATAAGTGGGACAACTACATGTAAATTCAATTGTCGAATAGTAACGTCATAACGACGTCAATAATATTTTTGCTGTAGGGCGATGGATAAATTTTTATGTTTATGTGGATATTTTTAACATCACTCTATATAAAACTTAAAAAAATTTTCAGGGTGATAAGTATGCAAAAATTTGTTGATAAATTGAGATTACTAGAGATTGTACGAGGACTGTGGAAATATTTTTGGATGAACTATTTTATATTTTAATTGTTTGATTTCCTTCCTCTTATGGCATTTGACGTCTAAATTAACTTTGAATAGATTTGCTTCCTCAATCATTTTATTTATTTTTTCATAGATTTTCCTGTTAGAGTTTTTGAGGATGATGCTAACAAAGACCCGATTTCGAAAAATGTTATTCATTATTCAATTTGGACTTTTGCGATACTTTGTGGACTTTTTATTATTATTCATATATCCATTTATTTTCGTTCAAAATTTACATGTCTCAAACCTAGAAACGTTGATGTAGTTGTTGAATTTCAGAATAGTGGAATACCTTGAAGATATGTAATTTAGCTTTAAACAATAAATGAAACCTGGGTATTGAGGTTTGCTTTACTATGTTCTTATTGTTAATTTTAAAGGGACATGAACACAGTTTCAACTGATTTTTTAAAACCAGTTTGAATATTTACAATTCTTTACCAAGGCAAATCTTATGACCAGCAAATATTTTATAATCATTGGCTTATTTACAAAGGAGGTACAGAAGTTTGAATTCCTCGTTATGTAAGCAATGTTCGTGCCTTTTTTGTTCACATATGGGAAATATCATACTTATAACGAAGCAAGATTCAGACAATAATTATAAGAAAAACTTGCTTTGAACGAATATAAATTAGCATATTTATACCCCCGTTGTCGTAGAATTGGGGGTTTATAGTTTTTGTCGTGTCTGTCTGTCTAGCCGTTTGTTTGTTCAAATTTAACCATGTCTGTATTTTTTTTGTTGGTGGAGCTATGACTTTCCAATTTCTCATATGTATTTCTTGAGACAAGCCTTTCTTTGGGTTTAAAGAATTTTACAGTTTGACCTTGACGTTGGAGTATGACCCACTCTTACACAAAAATTTCAAACATTATTTGGTCCTAACTTTTAAACGGTAGATAAAGTGCTGACCAGACCCAACCTGACACCCAAGCAGTCCCAGAAAGCAGTCCCCCCGGGACTGCTTTGGGACCGTGCTGGGACTGCTCTGGGACGGCTATTGGACTGCTTTGGGACTGCTCTAAAAAGCAGACCCAGCAGTCTAAGCTGTCCCTGGGACTGCTTTCTGGGACTGCTTTATCCATTCATGTGTGAAAAAATGGTTCTGAGTGACATGATAGTTCCGGTGTAACGACGAAAAGGGACCCCCGTAGAATATTGACCAGGGGGTCATTTTTCTACGTAGAAAAATGACCCCGGGGCAATATTCTACGACAAGTAGGGTCATTTTTCGACTGTAGAAAAACATTCCAGACCATTAATTCTACGACTCCATACACGTTGAAAAATGACCCCAATAGAAATTTGACCCACTGCTTTCTTGTACTATAAACCCTTTTATCTGTGTCTCCTGATATTTTTCATACTTTCAAATGTAAGAAGGGGGATTTTTTATGTACTTTAATCCTTTCCAACATATATTTGATTGCATATCTTAATTGTAGCATCACAATCAATGTGTCTGGTATGGATTTATTTTTGGCTTGCAGAAACCCAATGAAAAACTTTAAGAGTACTGTACAACAATATATTCAAGAAGTAGTGTGAATCAGATGTGGATACTCAAAAATTCCAAAGAACTTTTGGAAAATTTTAAATTACAAGATTTTTCCAAAATTAACAGCTTAACAACTTACGACTTTTCAAGTTTATGCACAACCATACCCCGTGATAAGTTAAAGTCCCAGGCTTTTTGATATTATTATTGACAGCTGCTTTTTCAATAAAAATGGAACTTGTGTATTTACTTATCTGGTCATTGGTCATTTGCAAAATTATTTTGTTAAACATTCTGATTGCACACACAAGTCCTCTGAAGTTGACATCAAAAAGATGCTTAAGTTTCTGATTGACAATATCTATGTGGTTTTTGGAGACCAGGTCTTCCAACAATCTATTGGAATTCCCATGGGTACCAATGCACTCCGTTCTTAGCAGACCTTTTTGTATTCATATGAAGCAGAATTTGTCTTATACGTGAAAAGAAGAAAACACTTGCTGTGGCCTTCAACTCAACATTTAGAAATACCGACGACGTATTGTCAATAAACTATGGCAATTTCCATTCCTACGTCGATACGATATATCCTGGTTAGCTTGAGATAAAAGATACTACAGAGTCTGACACATCTGTTTCATACTTGGATATTTTAAAGACGTCAGTAGTAATTCAACAACCGAGCTATATGATAAACTTGATGACTTTTTTTTATCTGACATCAACTTCCCTTACTTATGGAGCAATATACACCTTCATCACCTGCATACTGAGTTTATAAATCTCAGCTGATTCGATACGCAAGAGCATGCTCATACGTATGAACAATTTATAAAACGAGGTAAATTATTGACAAGCAAGTTGATGAAACAAGAATATCAGCAGTCTCGTTTAAAGTCATCAGTTCGTAAGTTCTATATTCGATACAATGACCTTGTCAGCAAATACAATTTTTCATTGAGTGAAATACTGACTGCATGACGCTTTTCATATTAATTGTGAGTCCATTATTTCATATTTATTGTTAGTCCATTATTTATGCACTGAATTGACGACCGATTTTTCCGTTATTTCCCTATCATGACAAGGAACACACGACGGATGTGACCGGTCAGCAGGGGATGCTCACTCCTCCATGGCGCCTGATCCCGCCTCCAATGTTTAGGAGGTGTGTTAGCTGCAGATCTGTAGCGTCATGGTTTTATATATTTGTCTTTGACCATAACGCTACAGATCCAGTAGTGCAAAAAAGGTGCAGTTTACGGCGCAATATTTTTTGCGCTCTTTTGGGGAGAATTTCTCAACATTCCAGCATGGTTCAATCAACTACCTTTCAACCCCTTATTTAAGACACATTATTTAATTAATCTGTATATTTTATCCATCTCCCAACCCTTTATAGTCGTCTCTACAAGTGATAAACTCGCATGATTAAAATTATTTGTTAGATTACTGAAAATTCATATCCAGCGAGTTTATTTCCTGTAGAGACAACTATAAATGGTTGGGAGGTGGATAAACTATGCATATTGGTTACAGAATGTGTCTAGAATTAGGGAGTGAAAGGTAGTTGATTGACCAAAGCTAGAAAGTGGAGAAATTCTCCCCAAAAGAGCGCAAAAAATATTGCGCCGTAAATTGCACTTTTTTGCACTACGGGATCTGTAGCGTTATGGTCAAAGACAAATATATAAAACCATGACGCTACAGATCTGCAGCTAGAGGTGTGTTTGGTCTGCTCCTATTTTGTTTTGTTTTATGGACTTTGATATTAAATACTGTTCATGATCTTCACATCCCTCTTCATTGAGGAGCATAAATTTATGATTAGATTTTTGGGTGTTTTTTTATCATTCAAAGGTTTTGTTCCGAAAATGGTATGGTAAGTTTTTGATAACCATAAACTTTGAAAAGTTTTACAAATCCAAAAACATAGCCAAGAAGCAAGAAAAGCAACGTAATTTAACTATATGAATTCCATTCCCTTAGCTTTTACTTTTAAACTTACATATACATCTGTATGCATTCTTGTTTAAAATACATACTTTTTAACTACCTTATATAAGTACTATAAGGTACTATACTTTTTCCTATATATACACGTCGAGAATGTTCTTATGATATTTAAAAAGACAACTGGCAAATGGTTGCTGTAATTATCCCCTTCTGAGATTTTTGAAAGACACTAACTTTGCAAATACAAATGAACTCTTATTCTATCATGCCATTACTTCGATATCTTAAGTCCAAGCATATACCGTCCGAAAGTTAATGCCAAAGTAAAAGTTTGAAATTTTTGTGTAAAAGTGAGTAAAACTCCAAGGTCAAAAGGTCAAAATTGGTTGTAAACAAAAAAAGGTATTGTCACAAAAAAAACAACACATATAATATGAAAGCCATAGTCCCGATCTGAAGTTTTGGGTAAGGTTCAAGTTTTTGCGGACAAATAGACAAACAGACAGACGGACAGAGAGGTAAAAAAACATATACCCCGGCCCGAAACTTCGTTTAAACGGGGGCATAAGTATAATATGTTACGTAACAACATTTTCATAATTCAACATTTGTTTTTTTTTATTATTGGCAAAAAAACTCCTAAAGTCATCACATGTAAGT